GGAAAGAGGGGCTGACATGATATTCCAGGAACTCTTGAGAAGAAAAACAAATCTGCTAACATTGTTCGGTCTTCTGAGCAAAGTGTCATGTTTAAAGTAGTTTGTACTGCAGCATTTGTTCACTCCTCAGCCTTCAAACTGTTACTGTAGTGTGAGCAGAAATGCAATATTATTGATTCTCTGGTTTCCTAATTAAATTGAATGCATTTCCCAACTTATATACACTAACTTTTTTTTTTTTCCGAGACAGAGTCTGACTCTGTTGCCCTGGGTAGAGTGCCATGGCATCAGCTTAGCTCACAGCAACCTCTCACTCTTGGGCTCAAGAGATCCTTCTGCATCGGCTTCCTGAGTAGCTGGAAGTACAGGTGTCTGCCACCATGCCCAGCCAGTTTTTCTATTTTTGGTAGAGATGGGGTCTCATTCTTGCTCAAGCTGGTCTCAAATTCCTAAGCTCAAGCAATCTACCTGCCTCGGCTTCTCAGAGTGCTGGGATGATAGTTGTAAGCCACCATGCTGGCCATATTCTAAATTTTAATCATCTATACTTGACCTATACCAAGCAGAAGTTAAAGCTGGCAGAAAGAAGTGTGTTTCAAGGTGCATTTCCTTTCTCCCCTACAGCCTTAGGGAAAATGTGAGGAAAGGGGTAACCCAGTGTTCTGCTATGTCTGTCTGCTCTGAAGAAATAGAATAGGATTTTCTATAGCTACTGTTATAAATGGTAGCTTATTTCTAGGTTATCCCACAAAAAAAAAAATAGACAATTTAAGCAGAGATGTAGATAAAATAGTCGTAGGGTTATGATTCATCCTGGTTTTAAAAGGCTTTTATGGAATGTCTTGAGAATTTAACCACCATTCATAAATAATGTTTTTATGGAACAATGCATCCTGAAATACAGGGTGTTCCCAAAATCTCCATACAGAGGGACAATTGCATAACAACAAATATCATGGGATGTGTTTGCCACAAGAGAGAGAGAAGGCTGTGTGTGTGTGTGTGTGTGTGTGTAGAAAGACGTGCCCAACCCAGAAAGAATATTTTATATTAGTTTGTAAATACGGTAGATCTATCTAGCTACAATTTCCCATTTCCCTGTGTATGGTGACTTTGGGACATCTTATTATAAAAGATAATTTAACACATATTCAGCTAAAGAGATGGGATGCCATGTCTTTACACAGACACAGTCTTTGAAGGCATTTTTCAAAGGTTTTTACCTCATTCTTGTTTTTGTGCTACATTTACTGCAAGCTAGGTACTATATGGAAGTCCCTCCATCGTCCATCTCTCCCTGTGGAAGGGGAGGAGAGGAAGCCAGCACCATCTAATCGCAGCACTATCTGCTCTCCTGCTCACATTTCCCACGCCTGCAGTTCCGAGTACTTTTGCATCCCTCAAAATGACATGCACATACTCTTCTTTCTGCCGGGAAGGGTTTTCCCTTTCTCGCTGTCCTGGACGACTGCTGCTCATCCTCTAGTTCCACTTTTGCATCTTCTGAGAAGTCCCCCTGACTCGCTCTTGTGGACACTGGGGCCCCTCCATCCAAGCTCTGCTGCTCTCTGCACATTCTCCTCTTAAGCAGCTACTTGTGATTATTTGCAAGTGTAAGACTTCACTAGGCTATAAGCACTTTGAAAGCAAGGCCCACATCCTGTGAGTGTTCATATCGTTACTGTGTCCTCTCTGACACAGTGAACGTGAACAAAGAGCAAATAAGTAAGGAGTTACTAAATGACTTAATAATTCTTTAAAAAACATCCAACTCCTTTGTCTTAATTACTCCTTAATGTCCAACCATTACTCTGGCACCAGGCAATCAAACCCAAATACTTTCCTGCCTTTTACAAAAGTAAAAGGCTTAAGTGGAACAAGAGAGAGAAAGGAGAAAGAAAGAAAGTTGAGAGGGAAGAAAAAGTCAAAACAAAACCTGAAGAATTAAACAACAAAAACACAGAGGAGAGACGTTCATTAGATAATTGTTATCTACATACTGGTAAATGGACCATGGGTCAAGGTTGAAGTGAAAACAGCTGTTGCATGCATGACGAGGGGAGCGGGGGACACCAAGAGCCAGTAGCACAGGCAATATGGAGGAAGCGCTGCATGGGCTGGAGGGGACAGCCTGTCCTGATGGAAAAGAAGGACCTTGTAGCTCTGACTGTAGTTCTCCACATTAGCCAGCAGAGGGTAGCCACGAACACTGCATGCATTTTCCCCTTCCTCTCCCTGTTTTCTTCCCATTTCAGATAAATATAACATTGGCAGTTCTTGTCTCCAGAGGCAGAATATGGAAGGTGGTGGGTGTTAGTAATTCCTTCGTAACTTGTGGGGGAATGTTTTGGATCTTTCAATGTGGTGCTTGAAGCAAGAGAACATGGGCGTTTGGTTGGAACAATGACTATGCAGTTAGAACTAACTTTGAAGAAGCAGTATTATAAGATGAATGCTGTGCTAAGGGACTTACATTAACATATTTAATCATTTCAAAGAGGCCTGGGACGTACTGTTTTATCTGTCCCCAAATGTAGGCAACTCCCTCTGCACAATAGATAATGTATGGAACACAGGAAGCCTGGAATCAGAGCAAGGCTCACATTCTCATTCACTGTATTACACAAGCTCTCTTGGTAGAACATTCCCTGTTTCTACCATAATGCTGTGCTTGGCTGAGCTCCGTCTGATGAGGAGGGAACCCGAGTTGGCATCAGTCAGTGTGAGGATCCTAGGGAAAGAATAAAAGTAGAAAAATGAAAACAAAACGATACTATGAATAATCCTAAATTGTGGTTTCAAAACCATATTTACTAGCCTTAAGGAAAATACGATCAGTAGATATTTATGAAGTTTTCTTAAGTCACAACAGTAGGTTTCCTTACATTTTTCTCCCTGATATCCATCATTGGCATTTTATTTACTTCAATTGCCTCATCACCATCTTGCTGTGAATAAATGAGGGAAGTGTGTTTACAGTAGCAAAATCCTATCTGGCCCCAAGATGAGCCCCACGGCAGCTCTTTAAGACTTTGGTTATGATTAGCAGTGACTGGGAATACATGTGAGCAGATATTTTAATTTTACTTTGGAAACTATTTTTGAATGTTTACTATGTTGTTGAGCACTGTGTTGGGCACAAAGGTTAAAAGGTATTTAAGACTATAAATTCCTACCCTAGTAGAGTCTTATATACAACCAAGAGAACACACACATCCATCAGGACCCATAACAGAATACGATAAACACTGTCCTAAATGCATGTGTCAAATGCCAGGGTGACAGGGACAGGACAGCTTTCAGGTTTCCCACTATACAATAGCTGGTCCTCTGGATTAATATTTAAGATTTCCCTGGTGCTTTTTGAGTTCAGAATTGAGATAAAGTGGTACATAGCTTAGAAGGATTTTTAGTTTAACACTGAGCA